AAGCGTGCCTTTGTTCACTGGTACGTGGGTGAGGGTATGGAGGAGGGAGAGTTCTCCGAGGCCAGAGAGGACATGGCAGCTCTGGAGAAGGATTATGAGGAGGTGGGAGTCGACTCCATTGAGGGCGAGGGAGAGGAGGAAGGAGAGGAGTATTGAAACAAGCATTAACAGATAATAATTGATTGCAATGTGTTTTTGAATGCATTCCAAACAGAAATGTTTGTCAGTTTGGCTGTTAAGACTAAAAACTCCTGAAAATGTCAAGTTTGGCTGTCTTCTAAATAAAACCTCTGTGATGTGAAGTCCTTTGCCCTGTGTTTATTCAGCCCAAATACATATTTACAACAACAAAATGATGCAACTCCAAATTTTGAGCTATAAATTTGAAGATTCTGTATTTAAAGCTCAAAGCTTGTCAGAATATATACATGGATATATTATGTTTTCTTAAACATTAACCATGTCTATTATAATCAGAAGCTGGACAACTAATTGGTTTCAATTTCAATTACTTCAACAGTAACCCAGTACTTTTTTCTACCTGGTGTCATTAATTCATGCGTGAATAATCATCAATAATTTAGAAAGAATATATCAGTATCTCAAGGCTGTTATTTATCAGTGATGAGAAATAAAATGAATTAATTGTGCAGTCCTCATAGTAATTCTCTTTTTTCTACTTTTTACTAATGAAGAGTTAGAATGAGAAGGAATGCAGGGTCAGATGTTACATGAATACAGAAAGGTATTGGGAAGTACTTCTTTAATCCCCCAATAAGCTCTGCAGAGCATCAGTGTAGTCACTTTATTTGCAAAAACATAAATGAAAGACAACTCTTTTAAGTAATGTTTATTGAAAAAACATTCAAACTTTGTCCAGATTTAAGCATTTATATCTACCACACTTGCTTTAAGTAGGTACAAAAAAAAAGATCAGCGCATGTCTAAGGTATAATTCTGGGAAATTGTTTGATTTCATCCTAAATATAACACATCAGTGTCTGTAATTCAACAGATGCTTAAAAAAAGTATTTAAAAAAACATCCCCGGTGCTTGTGACACGCATAACCACTTGTATTTAGCTGTGTGAGGCTGTGACGATTCACACCGGCTTGTCCTGCAGCAGAGGGCAGTTGTCCACGACTCCTCGCCAGTTCAGGATGTTCCAGAAAGACGAGGGTCCAGAAGTGCTTTGAGCCCCGCGGAGCTGTGAGCCTCCAGACACAGTGACGTCTTCCTTCAGAGGACGGTAGGACTTAAAGCGCCTGTCGAGCAAAACAATCACAGGCTGTTTTCAAGCATTTATGATTTATTCATGTTAAAGTATGAAATAATAATGTTAACAGGGTTGCCTTCATTAGTAAACCAACAGATTCTTATATGCACATCGCCTCCACTCTACAAAACCTTTTAACGATTTTAAGTTCACTGATAGTAATGTTGTGTTTTTCACTCTCATTACACTTTTGGTGTCTTTTTTTGCTGCAGCGGGCTTCTGTTTAGCAAAGAAAAACTCAATAAAAAAACCTCTTTATGCTACATGTTCAGCCCCAAAGTAAAGGCCTACAGATTTGTATGTCTTTTTACCAACATGTCATGTTTGTGCATCAAAGACTGTATATCAAAGATGGATGTAACCACAGTGACGTAGCACAAGTGGTCACCTTCATGTGAAAAATCACAGTTCCTTTTATGGCTGCTTTAGGCTACGTCCACACGTACACGGGTATTTTTGAA